CCACACACACCACACACACCACACACCACACACTCCACCTCATCCCACCCAGCGGGTAGCAATGGAGGGGGGTAGCATCGCTTGTGGTCGCCAGGGCGGTGATAATTTATGACAGCTGGGGATAGAGGGAGAAAGTAAACACAGCCTGATCGAAGGCGCTGCAAAGCGGCAACAAAGCAAACAGAACAAAAACTGATGAACTCCCTTAGGACCCCCTGCCCCTCCCTCCATCCCCAACCACTTCCCACAGATTGCATTGAGGTAAAGAAAACAGAAGAATAAAGAAAGTTCAAAAATGAAAAGCCGCACCACGCGTGGAAAGTCGCCAGCAAAACGCCCCCAAAGCAAGCAGCAGCAGCAGCAGCAGCAGCAGCCGCCGAACCCAAAAAGGGGGGCTCGTTCCTCGCGGTTTCTGCCGCGCCGCCTCATCTGCAGCCAAGAAAAATCGCTACGATAAAAGAAAGCCAATTTCCCTTACGCCTGCATTTGGCTTACGTAAAAAGACCGAAACAATTCTATTGTTGAATAAGAGCGGATATAGTACAATGCGTTTCGTTACAGTCAAAACACACAGGTAAATAATGGGCGCTTTCATTTTCCTCAGGGTCCATCCGAAAGGAGTCGAGAAACAATATATTATATGAATGCCCATCGAATATGGGTGCTGCATCGGGGGCAAAAGAGGACCCCAGCCTGGCCGTAAACATTTCCAATGACTATTTTTATTTTAAATGTTTTTTCTTGTTTTGGTTTTGGTTTTTAGCTTTTAGTTTTTGCATTGCAGTTCCATTGCCAACCGTTCTGTTCCGTTATTTTACGTTCCGTTCCGTTCCGTTCCGTTCCGTTCTATTCTATTGGGCTCCCCTTCCGTTCCGTTTTGCAAGTAAACTGCAAATCACGCGACTGCGACAGCGGGACTTGCCCCACAATTTTCCCCGCCACATAGACATATGTGCATATGTCGACGTCTACAAACAGCAGACAATAACGAGAACAACAACAGCAACAAGAAGATCAACGACTCATGCCTCATGCCTCATACGTTGGCGGTTCAGTTTTGTTGTTGTGTGCTTTGGTTTTATTCTGGCTAATTTTAAATGCTCTGATAAGTTGCACAAATATGTTGTGGATGTATCTTTCTTTTTGTCTATATCTTTTTTTGGGGATGCGATGAGGATGGCATGGGGATGGATCGATGCAATGAATGGGCAGGGCAGCAGCAGCAGCAGCAGCAGCAGCAGCAGCAGCAGCCGGCAAAACGCGTCACGCGATTTACAAGCGCATTTTTCGGGGATTTTCTGCTTCTGTTTCTGGTGGGTGGGATGGCGTGAAAGTGCATATCTTCGTATACAAGGAAAAGATTTGCCCAATGTGCGACTATTAAAGGGTAAATTTAATTGTTAAGCTATGCAAATGCTATGCCCAATTGCAGATAGTTTCTTGAAAGCGAAATTTGCATTGCAATTAGTGAATATTATTTCATCGATGGCAACAGTCGAAGAGCCGATGGAAGGAAGCTTGCGGCCAAGTCCTAAGCTGAAGCATGAAACTAATCACGATTCTGAATATTCGCTTCTATTGCAAAAGTGCACTGTGCATCTGTCTCTGTATCTGCATCTGTATACAAATTGTAAATTGATGCACAGTTGACTCTGAGATCTATCTCTTGCCGGCACAGCTTGGCCAGGGCAGGCACAGGCACAGGCACAGAAACAGAAACAGCGACTGGCCCAGCTCGCCCGGCTATCAGCGATCCACAATTTAGATGATGCGTACAAATGCATCGCTCACTTGTGGGCAGGAGGCGCTGATTGCGGCCTGATAATTAATGCATGCCAGGAATGCGGCAAGTGCTAATGAAAGGCATGGCGAAAGCCATACTGAACAGAAGAGAAATGAAACTAAAAGAACAGGACCATGAGTAGGACAGTGCGGCATATGGATGGCGCCATCATCATCATCATCCCCTGGCCGAAAGATGCAGAGCGTTCTGTTCAAAGATCAGCTGTGATGAGAATTTGCCCGAAAGCTTACTGCCTCTCCCTCTTTCAGTGTCTGCCTCTGTGGGTCCTCCCTGGGTTTCCCCATTCATCCGAAGTTCGAACGGAAACGGCGGAAAACGCACAGCCTACGGATTCCGATTCGAGTTTCGAGTCAATGGGATCGTATCGTATTTATTTTGCCTACGCTCTTGGCCAAATTAATTTCTCACACACAGACACTGGATACAAATTTCGTTTCAGTTTCGTTTGTGTGTGTGTGTGCTTTTTTTGGGGTGGGCGAAGCGGAGTTTGCTGCAATTTGACACCTTGTGGGCATTAAGTGCTTCCTCTGCCCACACGCTGTGTATCGGAGCTGTGCAGCTCTCGGAGGCTCTGGTGGCTGGAGGATGGGGACGCCTCGTCTCCTCCTCGTCTCGTATGGCAAATGCAACAAATTGGTTGCATTTCGTATTATATAGCCCCTTCCTCTACCCCTCTACCCCTCTACCCCTCTACCCCTCTACCCCCACCGTCCCCCATCGACTTCTTGGCTGACATGCAACTGACAACCGTCGTCCGTCTGCGACTGTGGCTGTGGCTGGGGGGCAGCGTCTGTGGCTGTTCATTTTGGGCTGTCGCGACGGCTCCACAGCAAATGTCTGTCTGTCTGTCTGACTCTCTCACAGACTTAACGTGTTTCCTCCTGTTTCATCTGACCTCCCCCTCCCCTCCTCCCACCCTACCAATACTTTGTTTTCCATCTTCTTCGTTTCTCTCGTTTTTCGCTTTACGTTTTCGGGCCCCAAAGATCATGCATGATATGCTTGCCGCGAGATCCCAGAGATCAAAAAAACACAAAAAACAAAAACGAAACGAAATGCCGCCGGCTCATTGAATGGGTTGTCCGCTCTTTGAATCTCTCTGTCCCGCCGCCCGGCTGCCCCCGCTTGCTTCCAGGTCTGCGAGTGTATGGGTATCTGTGTATCTTTGTGTGTGTTTCTGTATCTGCTGTTTGTCGTGGTCTTTTTACACGCATTCATTAAAAATAAGTTAACAACTTTTTAACACCTAACTGGGCGGCAGACAGTTGAATAAATGAATTATGCTGACGAATGGCGGCAACGTAGGTTGTCAGAGAGTGAGAGATGAAAAGATGAGGGGAGATGAGGAGATGAGGAGATGAAGAGACGAAGAGACGTGAGGGGGAAGGTAGTTTAAGAGGGGGACAGGGGTACATTGGTCGGCTTGTTAATCAGTTAAATTAAATGCGAAATGAACAAAACGAATTGGTTGCTAGTTTTGATCGTCCGAAGTCTTGGCTTGGCTTGGTTTTTTGGGCGTTTGATTGGGTCTCTCCCCGATGTCTCCCCCCCCCCCCCTCTTGGCTCACTCCTCTAAGTGGCTAAAAAAGAACGGTGTCTGCTGCTGCTGCGTTGGCTTTTCATTCATTAACCGAAATCATCAAAAAGAAGAAAAGAAAAAAACGCAAACCACCGCAGAAGTGTGTCTTTCTGTCTGTATGTTGAACTGTGGACGATGGGGAGGTGGCGAGGAATGGAGGGGGGAATCATATAACGACTAAATTATGCTAAGACTTTGTATAAACAGAAAACTCCAAGAAGTGGGTGCCCAAAAAGGTAGGTAGATGGGTTGTAGCCGGCCATACAGCCACACGGCTATACAGTATACAGTGAGTGGGCGCCAAAGTGTGCCATGCCATGACAACGACTGGGCCATCTACGACTTTGTATGAGCGGCTAACCCATTTACCGGTTACCGATCGTGGCCTGAACTCATTACAGCCCGCAATCCATGTTTTCTGGGATGCAGAGATGGGTAAAGGACGCAAAGTGAACATTTTTTTGTACGCATTCAAGGCAAAAGTGAAAACGGAAAAGCATTAAGCAATTGCATGGATTTTGATTTGATCGATACTTTTGACCAAGTTGAACAGAACCTGCAAATCATAATTATCTTTTTCATCGTTAGGGGATAGCAGGGAGCAGGGAGCAGAGGCGGCAGCAGCAGCAGCAGCAGCAGCAGCAGCAGCAGCGTTTCTGTGTGTAAGACGAGAAACGTTTCAAAGTCGTTGCAACGTAAACCGCAATCTGTTTTTAATTGAAAATGCAACAACAAAGGCACCACAGAGCCACACAGCCATACAGCCAGAGATACATACACACACACACACACACACACACACACACACACACATACATATGTACGGTGACAGGAGGGTGCAGGAAGAGGCAGGGCAAGCGGCAAGGGCACGGGGCAGATAAAAGTGAGGCAAGCAGGCGGAAAATGGTAAAATGGTAACTGGGGAATATAATAGTGAGATGTATGTACATACATACATACACATGTATGTACACATAGTGTACTAATACGGGGCCTTCCAAACAGGAAATGCAGCTAATCAAGCGTGTGAGTTGCAACAAATTGCAATTGGGTCTCTGCGTGCCTTGCTGCCTGCCTGCCATGCAACAGAGATATCTGCTTGTGCTGCTGCCCGTGTTGTAAGCAGCTTACGGGTCGACAAAACAACGACGCCGACGCCGACGCCGACGCCTATGCGTCTGCGCAGGCAGCGCAACGAGCGGAAGGGAATTCCCGTTTTCCGGATTAGCACACAAGCAGAAAACGTACACACAATAATATCGTAAAATAAAAAAAAAGGGAATCTCTATGGAAGCAGGGATAGGGATGCCGATGCCGATGTCGATGAGGCAGGTCATAGGGTGGGATTAGGGTGCGAGCAGGTCCCGCCTAGGCCTAGACACCTAATTCTACCTGACACCGCGGGTTTTGCCCCTGCTCCTGCCCCGCTTTACTGCTTGCGACACGGCGTATGCGCAATGCGCACGGCTGCAGGCGGCAGGCGGCAAGCGGCAAGCGGCAGTCGGTAGAAGCTTATGCAACGACTGTTATGGGAATATGAGACATACATATACATATGTGGAAGGGGGAATTGTACAATGGGGGAATATGGCTAGATAGATAGATTTGTGGACTTACCCGCTGGTCGATTGGATCGCCTGCCCGTGTCGGACTCCTCGAACATGAGCGGGGCATGACGTCGCCCCTCCACCAGGCCGCCGGTGAGGCACAGCAGCAGTCCCACGATGAGCAGGTGGCGCAACTGATGGCTCAGCCGGCCCATTGGCCAGCTCACTGATGCGGATGCAGGTGCGGATGTGCTGCTGGAGTTACTGTTGTTACTGTTGTTGTTGCTGATGCTGCGGGTGGTGGAGGCGGAGTTGGAGGCGGCGGATGTGGCGGATGTGGAGTCTGTGGCGCTCTTCCGGCTGTTGCTGCTCTCCAAACTCGGCACTGTGCCCGTTGCTGTGGCCCAGGCCACGCCTCCACTGGTGGTGGTGGTGGTGCTGCTGCTGCTGCTGCCACTGTCACTAACACTTGGCTTCTGCTTGTTGGCCATTTCTCCGGCTGTCGATTTTTGATTTGGTTGATTCGTTCGTTGATTATTCGCGGATACTGTATCTCTTTTGATTTAGTATGTATTCTCTCTCGGATACTGTGTATTTAAGCACGTTTTTTAATAAGAACCACACACAATAAAAATAAAAAATAAAACAAAGGTCAGAGCGCACACACACTACTCTTTATACACTCTCTGCTCTCTACTCTCCACTCTCTACTCTCTAGTCTCAGGTCTCAGGTGGGATGGATGGTTTGGTATATGGTGGGGTCTGGTAGAGGCCTTGCGTTGGATTTTCTGCGGTGTGGGTTGCCGTGCTGCGGCACGGTACTTTGCGGTGCGCTGCGATGCGGTGCGATGCGGTGTGGCGCGGAGAGTGAGTCGACAACTGTATTGATATAGACTTTTTGCGTAGCGCGATCGATCGCTTCTACTTGATTTTCTTTTCCTTTGCTTATTTCTCTTCTTTTTCTTTTTGCTTTTTGCTTTTTGTTGTGTTGTTTGGCTTTGCTTTTGCTTTTGCTTTTGTTTTTGTCCTACTATATATTTCTCTGGCCGATTAGATAACACATGCGAGTTTCGCGCGCCGATTTGGATTTATTTGACTTTGTGTGTTTTTTTGTTTGTTTGTTGTATAAAATTTGGTTGTTTTGTATCTGTTTTTTGTTTTGTTTTCGATTTGGTGTCTTCAAAGTGTCGAGACGTTTTCCAGTGCGAGCTTCAGCGAGACTTTATCAGATACTATTTCATTCACCTTACAGACCATAGAAGCTTTTCTGTTCTGTTCTGTTCGGTACGGTACGGTACAAACGTTTTTATGGTGTAAGCGAAACGGAACGGAACGTACCAAAGCTAAGCGCGGATCACATCCGAATGGATCGAATGGGATGGGTTGGGTTAAGTTTGGCCGCTGCTCTTTCTGTGTTTCTGTGTCTGTTTCTCTGTTGCTGTTGCTGTTGCTTTTGCTGTTGCTGTTGCTGGTGGTTGGAGCGGTTTCCCCCAAGTGCTGTTTTGGCACGATGCAGATGGCTTTTCGCTTGGGCTTCGGCCTGGCGTTATTTGAGTTTTAGTTGTCGGCAAGTCGGCGACTTTTTATCTACTAGATAGCTCGCGGTGTGCACTGCCGTGTATATTGCTGGCAGAGCGTTGGCTGCTGCGCGGCGGCGCTCGCTACAAGCTTACTCTCTCGCTGTCACTCTCTCTCTCTCTCTCTTTCTTCCTCTGTCTATCTCTCTGTGTGCCTGTGTTGGTGTGTGAGGTGCGTTCGTTCACGATTGTGGCCGTGTGTATGTCCGTATGTTTGGCGGTGTGTGTGCTGTGCGGTTGCGAACGTTTGGTAAAATAATGTCCACACACGGTATCGGACGTTGGAATAAATAAACTAAAAATCCAACAAGCGCACACGACGATGACAGCAGCAGAAGCAACAGCAGCACCGGCACCACCAGAGCAGAGGCAGAGGCAGAGCAGCAGGCAGCAGCATTCAATTGAGTGAGAGTGAGATAGCAGGATAGATAGCCAGAGCGCGAGAGCCAAAGCAGGCAAAAAATGTTGCAGAGAGCACACGCGAGCGCAACAAAGTTTCGGGCCCGATCGGCCGTTCGGGCCGCTTGCCTTCGGCTGGCTTGCAATTTTCCTCTGCTGCTGCCAGCGTCGCTGTTGCTGCTCTGTCGCTGCTATTGTTTGCAGTTTTGGAAAAAAATATGTTGGCTTAAAACTTTTTTTGCGCTATCTGTGTTTCTGTTTGCGTGTGTGTGTTTATGTGTTAGTTTCTCGGCGTAGATGTGTGGATGAGTCGCGTGTCGAAGAGATGCTTGGGCGATGACGAATGATGCGACGTCGCCGTGCCGTCGAATGCAAAGTTGAATGAGCGCAGCGCTGCCCACTGCGCATGCGTGCATTGCAGGCCCTGCGCGTTCACTTTTGCGCACGCAACATGTTGCTAGGCCGCATTCTGAATGTTGCTGGGACCACCTGGCCACCCTTGCCTCTGTTGCTGCTGCTGCCTTACCTGCTGCCTCATCGGCGCTGTCCCCTTCCCGCCCCTCACCAATCACGGATGGTTGTGCAAATTTTGTTTGCTATCTGCGGCGTGGGCGTGAGCCTCTCACCTGGGCCTCCTTTAATCGCTCTCTCTCTCTTTCTCTCCCTCTCTTTATCTTTGTCTCTGTCCCTCTTACTCTTACTCTTTGTGTGGGTCAGACTTTGGGCCAATCGTACGCTCAGGTCCAATGAGCAGGAAAGAGGATATTTGCAAATGGTCGAAATGGTCGCAATACATCCCAGCACTGGAAGGTTCCTCGTTTCAGGGATGCTCGTTTCATGGTTCATGGTTGTGTTTACTGCAAGGGAGCCATATTAGGAATACCAAGTACTCTGGAAATTTCCTTATTTAATCGTCAATTCCATCGACCATCCTCCAGGACAAATACTCTAATAGATCCCCATAAAATGAGTCAGATTACATCATACGATTTCTTGGACCCACCCAAAACATAATGGCACGCATATATAATGTTTGTACATATGAATGAATGCACGAAATTAAAGACTTGTGATCTTCATGGATACGAGACTATGAGTGATACTCGCCTGGTCTTGAACACACGCATTCCACAGGCATGTGAGTGACCCATGGATGATGGTCAGAAATAATCATAGAAGTATTCATAGGAGACCCATGAAATAGTCTTGGAATTCCGCAAAACAAAACAGCGACTGACTGCATTCCGTGGTCCCTCAAAGATTGCTCAAACGATGGGCATGTTTACTGCCTGTGTGTGTTTTGGCCATTGGATTTGGCATTCCTAGTTCCTCCCGACTAAAGAGTTTACGAGACATCTTACGCTAGCCGGAGACACAAGTGCCACAAGACACAAGACACAAGACAGTGTGTCCCTTTATGGCCGAAACCCACATGTATGTATGTACATACATCATTATATGTATATGGTATGCATACTACATACAGTTGTGTTCTTCGCGATGAGTCGGGGCACGTGTGAGCGCAATTAAAAACCAGAACAGGCACCAAACAGACACAAGAACGCCAACAACAGCAACGACAACAAGTGAACTATATATTAAGTATTGCTAATAAATAATGTGAGAAAATATGACAAGCTGAAAATACGAATTCGAACTGCGAATGTCTGCGGATTGAATCCCCATAGAAAAACCAACAAAATTACCAAATTTTTGCGGTTATTTTTTATGTTTTTTGGGTTCTTCGATGTAGCGGAGAGCGGAGAGTGGTGCTGGATGGTGGATGGTCGATGGTGGATGGTCGATGTTGGAGGGGCGTTTAGTTAATTAATTTGTTTGCTTTCGCTTTCGCTTTCGCTTTCGATTTCATTATCAACGCGAAGGCAGAAGCCACAGCAGCAGCAGCAACAGAAACAAAAACAACCACAAAATGAAGAAGAGGAGCGCATAGCGCCAGTCGATCCAATATGTAGACAAAAATATCGAGCGATATCGTTAACCATAATTTCTGTCACATTCAAAATAAAAATAAAACAAGTTTAAATAGTTTTCGGTTTATTAAGAGCATAAAATAAAAAGAATGTAGACTCCCGTATGAAATAATATGTGCATGAAAATAGACGGATGCCAGCAACACAACACAAAGAGAAAATAATGTGCAATATGTGAATATTTGGATTTTCGTGGGACTTTCATCACTTTTATTGCACGATAACCATCCACGGTAACTCTATTTTCTCTGAGTGCATAAATGCCAAAAGCATTAGAGAGTCAACAACATCTCCAAATATGACAAACAAAAAACCCAGCAGCAACATTATGATGCTTGGCTTTTAGCCGCATTTCCATCTATTTCATATTTGTTTTCAGATCTTTTTCCTTTTTGGTGGTCAACATTTCTTGATGTTTGTGGAACTAAGAGTATGAGCAAAAGTAATTCTTCAATCTCTGTATACCCTATGTTGACTGGTTTCCATTTAGATCAATATTTTACGGTGTTTTCCATACATAATTTCAAACCACAGCCATGCATTCTTTATATAATGTTAATCTTTGTGTCTTCTTATTTCTGGGACTATTCAGAGATCAAAAGAAATCTAAAGATGGCAATCATTGAGATTCAGAGACTGATCTAATATTGTTGTCAAACTCAACCATCTGGTATATACCTTTTGTTGCTCCTGTCGACATATGTGTGTATGTACGTATCACCCTCAATATTGGACACAAGTGAGTATCAAATAAGGTTTGCAGGAGATGTGTGTCAAAGGTATGACACGTAAATTCCATCAAATTGATATTCTGAACGAATTTTTAGGGTATTAATCTGCATCGTTGTTGCCCGCGCATGAGGTGTTCCCTATTTGATTTTTGTATTTATATTTTGTTCAGCCTCATTTAGTGCGCTGCTGTCAGAGCAGTCACCAGCTATGTACGTCGTCGTCTGCAATTTGAAATATTCCTATAAATGTTTTGGCCTCACGGCCCCGCCGCAAACAAATAAATATATATTCTGGGCTCCCCCCCGTCCCCCCGTCCCCCCGTCCCACCGCATCAACCGTGCTATGCCATGCCACACAGATGTACTACCTACAAATGCTATATCGTATGCATACATGTAGATATGTGTGCCGTTAGTCTCTATATAAAAAAAAAATGTTAAATGTCTGAAACATGCGTACAAAATGACATTGCAAAAGCAAAAACACCAACGACACCAATCAACAATCACCAACGAAAGCAGCAGGGAAAAAGCAAAAAGGCAACGCTTTTCTAGACGCCCAGAAAACAAAAAATGCTTTTCCTTTGATTTATGTAGTTTTAGCGAGCGCCGTCGACGTTGACGCTGCTGCTGCTGCTGCTGCTGCTGCTGCTGCTGCTGTCGCTGACTGTTGGATGTTGGCTGCACTGCCAGCGTCGACGATGCCGTCAACATAGCAGCAGCATGACACATACACCACGGTATATATGTAGTGTATACATACACATATTTGAGCGATCTGTGCGAGTAGTTAGTGGAAAATATGATTGCCTTGTTGGGGAAAAGTGTGCAAGACTTCTGTGATCTCAGGGTGAGCGTAAGAAAGTGATCGACTGAGGATTCAAAATAATTAATAAATGTTTCTGATGTTATGGGAGTTATGGTCACCTCTCCGAAGAGCTGCACTTTTTAGTTTGAAGCGTTACACCTCTAAGTAACCCCCAAACGAGGGTCATTGGCAAGCATTCGTCAAGGCGACAAATTCAAGGGGATGGCATAAAGAGTCGCTTAACAGAAACAGTCGTCCACTGTATTGGGTTACTTAAATACGAGTGGTGGAGTACCCCCGAGCCACTTCGATTGTGTGCACCC